ATTAAAAATATTTATAGCACAAAAAATCTTTAAATAAAAAAAATATATGCATCGTGTAATCATTGAACATCCAATGACAAAAATATTCATTAGATCTTAAATAAAAAAAAAATTCAAAAAAACAATTTTTATGATTAGAACAACATAAAAAATATAATAGAAAAAATAATGTACAAAATGAATGATAGAAACGAAACTATTCATTAAATTGAAAATTCTTGAACGAAAGTTCACAAAAATTATTACCAACTTGAAAGTTGTTTATAATACAACACTGTTGATTTTTCAACAATTATAAATCATCCGCAGAGTATAGTTCAATAAAAATTTGTTTAAATTAAATCTATAGTCTCTGCGGCAAAAAATGTAAGAGATATAAGATAAATTGCTTGGTCATGATTTATCAAAATTAAATGTTTAGAAGAGTTCATCAATTGAATCTAGATCTTTTCGATTGTTTTTTCTTAGAAACTTTCTTTGTAGAGCTATTTGTATTTAACTTTTTATTTTTTGTAGGATTATCAGTTGGTGTATCAAAATTATTTATGCCATCAACATTGTTAGATAGTTCTATATTATTTACTAATTTTTCTAGTTCGATTGTATTAATTGTTTTATTAAGCACATAGGAGTCTATAATTTCTTGCGGAATTCTTTTGAGCAACACAAAAGGATCTATAAATACCAAAATTATAAATTAATTTTTTGATAACAATTTTATACAAAATAAATCATTTTTACATTAAAAAGTAATTATATTATTATTAAATGACGAAATCTTTTTTATAAACACCATTGGAACTTAAAAAAAGAATATATAAAAATAAATATTACTATGATAATTTCATAAGAATTCGTATTTTATTTTCAAAACAAAAATGAAAAATATGTTTAAAGTAACGCGGTTTTGCTATTCGCTTAATAGTCTTAGTGTAGAAGGGTTTCCGAGGAACTCCTTTAGGGTTTCTTGTCATAAACACAACTAGGAAACAAGAAGGTTCTAAGCCTCTCAATTGACAAAATTACCCCCAACATTTTTTAATTTACGTATGTTTTGATATGACTTATCACTTATAATACAACAATAATTTTGTTAAAAATTTATTTTCTTCAAAATTTAAAAATAGCCATTATTCAGCCTTATCTTACAAAAAAATTGTGTGGGTCGATGATAGTATTAGGACAAGTACATATTAAATTATTATTTCAACGAAATTATTATTTAATCAAAAATAATAAAATATTTCTAACCTAGTTAGACATCCTGTATAATTGATTGGGGTAAGATGAAAATCCAATAAGCACCCTCCAAAATGTTAGTTAAATGTTAGATTATTTTATGGTTTAAGTGTTATATGTATAATTAAGTGACTTAATTAGACTAAATTTAATTATTAAAAACTAAAGCTCTATGAAATATACTTCATTAATTTATTACTTGAAACATTAAAACAAAATACAACTCTAAAATACACTAATACAAAATTTAAAAATATATTATTTATATACTTTTAATAATAGTATCAAATGAATGATTGATTAGCTGTTACTATCAAACTATTATATATATTCTAACAGTGGAATTTGATTTTTTTTTATAAGAAAAACAAAGGCGTCATTTGGGTGGAGACAACTAAGCTTTTTCCCAGTCTAAATTTTCAATACATATTGAGGCCGTATAGTATTTTAAATTGCAATATTAGCAAGACACAAAATATCAAGAATGTGATGCAGCTGACATACTTTACCCACTCATTCTATGCACATNAAGCGACATACTGTACCCACTCATTCTATGCACATGTGTATATTATTATAAAAAAAATGACACTTACTCATATGATAGACTTTGTCGGATGATTTTTCCACATTAATTGGATTTGATTTGTTTTCAGTAGATATCTTGACGTTTGACACGTCAGGAGTTTTATTCTTACGATTTGAATTAAGAGTATAAGAATTATTTACTTTGTCTTCATATTTATTTGTTAGTCTAAGTTTTTTACGTGAATCGTTAACGTCGTCGAGATGAGCTCTCTTCTTTGATTGAAAAGTCTTGGAAGTTTCAGGCTTTTGAATCCTTGAATCCTCGTTTTCATCAAATGTTAAAAGATCTTTATAAAATTTTATAATTTTACGTTTACTTGGACGTTTGCCAACATAATGAGGATTTAAACGTATGTTGATGTCGATGACAGGAGTTCTATTCTTTATTCGATACATCTTGTGGATTTCAGAATTGTTAATTCTTACATTTTCTTGTTCGCCAGAATTATTTACTATTTCGTCTGCATTAGTTTTTTTACTAGACATATAGTAGTCTATAATGTCTTGTGAAATTCTTTCGATCAATACAATCGGATCTATTGATTCAAAAATTATAAATATTTTATGTAAAATATATAAATTGTATATTAAAATATATTAATATAAAATAAATTAATCTTACTCATATGTTTGACAGCTTCGGATGGTATTTCCACATTAATTGAATTCGATTTGATTTTAGTAGATATCTTAGCGTTTGACTTATTGCGAGTTTGATTGTTACGTTTCAAAATTAAGGCATCAGAATTCTTTACTTGTCTTTTATTGACAGTTGTTTGTTTTTTAGTAATTTTCTTAACATGGCCAACATTAAGTGTCTTTTTTGATTGAAACGTTTTGGAAGTTTCAGGCTTTTGAATCGTTGTATCCTCGTCTTCATAAAATGTTAAAAGATCTTTATAAAATTTTATAATTTTACGTTTACTTGGACGTTTGCCAATATAATGAGGATTTGAACGTATGTTGACGAGAATGGAATTTGATTTTCTATGTCCAGTTTTTAGATGGCTTATAGTTTTTTTGATTTTGTTTTTCATGTTTAACTTATAAAGATATAAATTAAATATCTGACTACAAAAAATCAAATATTAAAGAGTTTTTGGGCAACTTTTGTGGGGTTTTCGGGCTTAAGAAAATTTCAGTGTCACACCTAAATCACCCGTGATTGTTAAAAAATATTAACTTAAACAATATAAATTTTGTAGTCATGGAAACAAGAAGAAAAATTTATATAAAAACAAATAAATTGGAATAGACAATCGCTTTTGCATTATGTAAAACGAAAAATACATTGGCCATTAAAACTTTTAGCCAGAAAAATTAAAATTAAAATTATATTTATTGTTGTAAAAGTTTGTAAAATTTCCATTTTCTTCATATAAATTTTTTTTTATTGTTGCATATTATATTTTTATAATTGTATTTGAGATATTGAAATACAAAAATGTGTAAATCGACATAAATAAGTTTCGACAATTTTAAGGTAGACAAATTAGTTATAAACTCACGTGAAATTAACAAAATATAAAAGAATGACATATTTATTATATGACTATTTTTCTTATAAATAATGATTAATTATCAGTCTTATCAGTCATTCTAATTTGATCAGATATTGATTCTTGTTCTAAACCATTTAATTTCTCGTAAAATAAAAATTATATTATAATTAAAAATTTTTTTTAAGATAATATGCAATTTATCAGTCATGGAGTATTTTTTATGTTGGTATGGACTTTTAGTATATTATAATAAAAAAAATGTATTTTCTATAATTCGAGTAAAAAGATTTTTATTTTGGCAATTTAACTTTTCTTAACTCTAAATGGTAACTTGATAACTTTATTTTTATCACTAAAATAAACGTTATTTTTGTATAACAATATTTGTTAATCAAGGAATAATACAATTTGTCTGAGTTACATAAAGAAATTATTCTATAAATTTAATTTACATTTATACAAATTAGTAAAATTGATTTCAATTGCAACACTTTTAATAGTTTAACATTATGATACGCTCACTGATGATTAAGTTTGAACGAATGTTTCGATGACTTATGAGTTCAGGCGTTCCATATAGGCAAGCTAACTTTCAAGTCCTCGGCAAGTGACGTAGACGCGCACTGTATTTACCAATCGAGAAAAATTGTGAAACGGTACTAGGGACTCAGGAGGAAAGCAATGAAGGTGGGCAATTTGATTTCCGAGACTCGGTAATTTACAAAAAAAAAAAAGTTGAAAATATAGTACTAGGAATTCAATTTTGTTAAATTTTTAACTTTTGTGAGGTAAATATTTGACTTATGACTTTTTCAGTAATAACTTTTTTATGTAAAATATTCATATCTACAATTTTTTTCTTATAAACTTTTATGTAGAAGTCATACATTTTGAGATAAACTACAATTATTGAAAAACTACCCTCATGATTGAATTTTCAACCCTCTTGAGGCACGGCTTAGGGTTGACCGAAATTAATGAAATTTGACACAAATTATTTTTTTATAGTTTTGAACAAATTCCGGGGGTAGCCTGTTCAAATTTAAAAAAATGAAAATTAAGGACCACCCTAATATATGTATATATTTATATATTACACTTACAAATCATAAAACTTGTAATCAGGATATAACTAAAGAAATAGGAGATCATGTTGTTTTTGAAATATTCTACCAATTTTTGAAAATTAAACACTATCTACAGATTTGCATCCAAGCGTTTTTTATGATAGTGATTTTAATCACCGTCAATAACTTCCAAAATATTTATCCACAAGTTTTTATCGACCAACCATATGTTAGATAGATAATTTTCTAATATTTAATTTGGTAAAATGTACATTTCCATTCACAAAAAAATAGTTGATTTTAAGGGAAAAATAGGAAATATAAAAACTTATTATTATTATTTTTTTTTTTTTTAGAGTGCGTAGAGTAATATTAACTTTTGAAAAGAAAAAATAATACTATATTTTTATAGATATTGCTCGAATTATAGTTATACAATCAGTTAGTTACAAAATATTAAATTATACTAATCCATTTATGTTAAGAATATATTTTTATTTATTAAATTTAACTATATAATTTTTAGATATTATTTTTTAAAATAATATCTCAGTAATAATGTTTATGCACATAAAATAAAATTTGTGATGTATATAAAAATCCATTTAGAGTTATATTTTTTTTTTTAAGATTAATAGTTCAGAAAAAAATATTTTATAATACTATAAGTTATAAATAGTGTCTATTCAATAAGATATATATATGCAATTATAAGTAAAGCTAATAAAAATGTATTATTTTAATTATATCTTTATTGCAATTAAAATAATTTCATAGTTCTCTTATACTAGATGTTTTTAATTTAACGACTTAATTTGGACAGTTTCTTGCTAGAGGTGGTAAAGTGTATGAAATTTTAGTGGTAGGTCTATTTTCCCAATCCCCTGGAAACCGTTCACCGGTACTTCTGTTGCATTGCATTGATAACGTACTATCTTCGTATACTTTGTGTAGAACTTGGTTTCTCATTGGTGTCCATTCTACTGCTTTGTAGTTATCACTTATTCCTTGTTCAGTAGATGTTGGTTGCCTCTCCCATCTGTGGAATATAAATTCGCATCATGTCTACTACATCTATATTTGAATCATGATAGAAACACTTACTCTTTTAAAAACTTAAAATAAGTCCGAAGATTTTGATCACTTATTGAGCTTTTACATACTTCCAGTTCGGTTTTAGGATAATAATAAACATAGTTAACACACATTTCATCGGTTATACTAAATCCGCCCAAAGTAATGTTTTGACGGAATTCTGTATTAAAATGGCACGTAGTTATCAATGCATCACCCTATAAAATATATAAATTTATGTATAATTTTTAATAAAAAAAATTATTAATAAAATTATCAATAATCAAGAACAGACGACACAATGCACCAGGAAGATTATAATGATGTGTACCGATAATTAAAATGAAAAGCATGATCTTCATAATATTATTAAATGTCAACTTTTGTGAAATCTTATGCTATAAATTACTTAACATTAAATATGTTAATATAGATATTGAATGAATTAATTTTTTTTATATTGTACCAGTAGTTATGATACTTTCGGTATTTTTTTATAGATTTAAATACTTATTATTATTATAGCTCGACAATCACTTTCTGTGATTGTTACTATTTTTAAAGATCAGTTTAAAGAAACAGTGCAACAAGTTTTAAGAGATTTTTAAGATTTTCGGTTAGTTAATGATTCTTACAGTCGTTAAATACAAAATTCTTCCATAATTTTATAACATAAGCAAAACAGATCACGAATGCTTTCAAATTTCATCTATTATGAATTCTTTAATCTTTCAGTTCGACAGACTTGATCAAAGAAACTTACTAATACTAAAATAGAAAATGAATTATAGTATATACTATTATAACACAATGTTATCAAAAACAGTTCCGACTAACGACCCTTTTATGATTGTCTAGGTTAGTTATACATGTTTAATTATTACACAAGTATATGATCTACTCTAGCCGCTACCGCTGTTTCAATCGAGTAATACAACCACATTATAGTTTTTAATTTCGGTGTGTTAATTGTCGCCTGTTTGCTATTGTTGTAATTAATTAAAAAATCTCCAATACTGAACTGTGCAGCAAATCCCGAGGGTTATAACATATTTTGTTCTTTATCTTTTCTATTATAATAGAATAATCTACATTATTTTTTTATGTTTTGTTTTTATTCCCGTATAGTTCTCTAAGGAGCGCCCTTGTACGTGTTTCATCGGTCATCGCACCGTCGAAGCTATTAAACAATCGTCTCAAGAGTTAAATATATTATGGTAAAATCAATTAGAGTATTTTAATTACGCTTGTCAATCAGGAAATATATATATTTTTTTATCTTTATTTTGAACTTTTTTTATTCTGAGCTTAAAAACATAACTATTTAATGTTCCAAAATCTATATTAATACTGTGATTACAATTATAAACTGTTTTTATTTTTATTTCTTAATAAATATTTGTTGTAATTAATTAACTACATTTTAGAGCAATTATATAATGAAAGTTAGTAAGAACATAATAGAGTAGGAGATTACAAATTACTTAAATTTATAAATAATGTAAAAACTCACTGGCAGTACTCGAACTGGTCTTTTAAGTAATCTGATTTCTTGAAAGTGGGTACTGTAGTGATTGTCTCTATTAAGTTCCGGTAGTTCTTGGCCATCTCGTACATGTTTTGTGTAGATCTTCGTACCTGTTAAATGAGTGTGAAGTTGAGATCCAAAAACTTCAATTCCTGAGGGTGGTATACTCTGGTATTAGAAAATAATTAAAATTTCTAATATTAGCACAAATATTCATTGATTAAAGTTATTATTAAAGCTAGGAATTATATGCATTTATAAATTTATATAAACTATTCATAACACTAGCAAATTTTTTTAAAATGACTTGTAAAATTAGTTTTTGTTGAATGTGTTATGAAGACGGATGTGTACGTATGGTGTGTGCATAGATATGTGGGAGATCGTGTCAAGTGGAAGTTTAGGAAAGGGTGGCCAACCCAAAGTAGTTGGGATAAAAGCGAGGAAAAAGAAGAAGACTTGGAAACTTAGTAATATGTTGTTACTTCAGTTATAGTTAAGGGAGGATTAGGGCAGTTTATCTCACCCTAAAATAAAAAATATTTCTACTTTACTATACAGAATGTTCAGTAAGTAAGAAAACAGATCAATTGTTACAAACGATGAGAACAATAGAAACCCGTTTCCTTACTTAATGAATATCCTATATAATTATATGACAAAGTTTCACAAAATTTAAACGCTCTAAAGTGACTCAAAAAATATATATAAAGGCGCATAACACCTAGACTTTGTTATAATTGTTATAACTACATGGAGTAGCTTTTACAACTGTACTAGTTTTTTAATTAAAAAAGCTCAACGTGGTTTCATGTCGAATGACTTCATAAACCCTATCAATTAAAAGTGTGTCTCTAATCAAATTCCTTTTCTTGTTAATAATACAGATCTACAAAATTAAATTTTTTTAATCACCAGAGATGAAAATATACTTTTCTAAATAAATTTTTCGGGTGGTATCAAATCTGAAATTAAATATTCTATTACCTCTTGTTTTTAATATAATTACTGATTAGTAAAAAGAAATTAATTACACAAACTAGAAATTTCGTCAAATATCCATATTTTTTGCTTTTTAATTAGTAATTATAAGGGCCGGTGTGTCCGAGTCAGTAACGCGGTATTAGTCAGTAGGGCGGCTTCATTTGCCGAACAATAGATCAGTTCGGTAATTGAAGTCGTCATCCCTCTCTCCGGCGACGGACTAACCACCCGTCCTGGAGTATAAATGATTAAGAAATCTCCTCTTATTGTCTACGGCTCTTAATGGGCTGATAAAGCGATAAAAAAACAAAAAAATTAGTAATTATCTCAAAAACTGGAAGTGATAAAAAAAAATCTACTTGAAAATTTAAAATTTGCACGAAAAATTGATCAAGAAAAGTATATTTTCATTTCTGATGGGAATTCCTTGTAAACTATGTGAATTGTAATTTTTAGAAAAGAAGAACATAGTTATTGTATATAATATGTAGATTCTATGGAATAATGTAAAATCATTACTTATTGAAAAAATTGTTATTCAACAAGCTCTGAAATTAAGAAACTCAAGATTTTCTCGATTCTTTACTAGTATAGGACTGAATTGATTATGCTAATAAAATTTATAGTTGTATTCTGAAGTGCACATGATAAAAACAATCATGGATGAAAAATAAAAGTAGCGAGATTCTAAAATATTTTCTAAATTATTTAAGAAAATGTCAGATACTTGTTATTTTCAAATTAACGTTGAAATGTAAAAACAGATTTCTTTATTGTTGTTTAATGCAAAAATTGATTGAAAATAGACGTGCATAATGAACTATAAGGGCTAAAAATAAATCTAACGATGTTTACTGAAGGTTTTATTTGATTACTGTGCAGAGAATTAGCGTATTTTTAAATATTTCATTTATTAAAATATTAAATTATCGATTTATTATTGGCAGTAAATATCGAAAAAAAGTGTTATCAGTTCAGCCTCATAAAAATTAATAATACGATAAATGTCAATTGACCAGCGCTATCTATCTCTAAAACGTAATACTATCAAACCTAGAACAAACTAAAATCAAAACATTAACATAAATGAATAATTTTTGAAAATAAATGATTTATATTTCTTAAATTATTCATAAATTAAACCTAATTCGATTTATTAAATACATATTTTAAATCTTTACATGATAATAAAATTAAATAACTAAAATGCGTTAAAAATTTCATGAATAATTAAACTATCATGCTTTCTATTAGAATCCTTTTATTAACACAAATGTAAAATATTTCGTGACGAAATATAAAAATAATTTATTAATATAATATATAATTATATATAATATATATTATATTTATCAAAATTATCAAAATAGTTAACATTTGTTAAGAATCATACTTCTGCAGTACATTCGGATATGCAGTAACCGCTCAGTGTGAAATCGGATTGATTAGGAGGAATAGCCATTTTATCAGTATACTCTAATCCCAACTCCACTACTGCGGCATCGTACTTCCTCAAGTTTGGTGTTATATACAACCTAATACCAGAGCTATCCACTATACCTGAGAAGTTTATACATCTATATAAATAATTTTCAAATATAATTTTTATTTTATGTTATTTACCTTTAATCAAACCAGGATTATTATAGTGTACTTCTAACATTACAAATTCATTGAAATCTGGTCCACCGATGGGTAAGCCAGCTTCCTTAATGAATAGAAATAAATAAGCAAAATTATGCGAGTGTGTATTTTAGCTATCAATAAATATATTAAAAGTTCATACTTCAGGATAAACAAAAGCTGGTGCTCCCATAGCCCAAGCAGCTATAACTTTCTTACACACTTGCGTTTTGTATGGCCGTTTTTCATTAAAACATGGTCCATCATAAAGAGGCATATTGTTGCCAGCACCGGCTTCACAATGAAAGACTTCTATATGATGTACCACCCCTCTGTTTTTTTTCTCAATAACTGACTCAAACTAATTAAATATTCATTACATTACATTCATTATATGCTACCATTTTATAAAGGATGATTCTTTTAACACTAGACACTCAATTTCTCTTGAAATAATCATTTTTTTTGTGAATTTTGTTTTAGGCTTTTGTTTATTACATATGTATTTATACTTATGTGTTATAAAATATTTTTTAAATTCATTCCTTATGTCTTATAGGAATATAAACTTTAATTTTTAAATGTATAGATTGTTCAGTAAGTAAGGAAACGAGTTTCTATTGTTGTTATTGCTTGTAAAAATTAACCCGTTTCCTTACTTTTTGAACACTATATTTATTTGACTATAACATAGAAAATTATATAATTAAGAAAATGACCGGTCTATAACAACTTTTGGAAGTGATAGTTATAGTAATCACTCTCAGATATTATTTGTACTTGTTCCAACTACGGCACGACCCCAATGTGATGGTTTTTTTATCACATTTATAACATTTAAACCAACTAAAATCTACATAATCAACAATATTTGTTTTACGCATTGGTGTATTAAGAAAAAAATAGTGATAGGGGACCAATCCCCTCTAATTTTTTTTGAAAAATATTTATTTTGGTTTTAAACCTGTATAACTCTTCATTTTTGTCATAGTAACGAGGTGGATGATTTACATAATAATTATAAGAATCTAACTGACATAGAATATATATTTAATATTTTAGATTTTTTCTTCTTTTCAGTAGATAAAAACTACTTTATAATTTTGAACTAACTTAAATTGTCCTTTTTATAAATTTACAAATGCGATGTTTATTTTCTGCATTGGTATTATTAAGAACTTTCATGTTTGGGGTACGAGGTTTGAACCTAAACTGCCGCAGTGACTTTGATTGCACTTCTTTCTTAATTTTTTTTATTTTAGAAAATAAGGTTTAAAAATCATTTGATTTATATTTCATTTAGATTGATTGATTTCTACGAATATAAATGACCCCATCATTGTAGTTTCCCTTTGTGAGAAGAAATTTATAATTCGTGTTAAAATTATTTTACTATATGGTTAATTTTTGTGGCTGTTATTCATTTTTCCCAACTCTCATTTGACCAATTTTTTAACGATATGGAAAATGATCATAACTTGTATCTATTTGAAAATAATAACGTTAAAAATTGAAAAAATATGTCTCATTTATCAATTTAAAAGTTACTTAGTCCAATTTCGCTATATGGACAAAATTTATTTTGTCACTTATGTATTAAATATCGAATTTGATTTAATATGGTAATCGATTTCAAATACAAATTTGTATAATTTTACTTTGTTATTTGTTTATTTTTTGACTCTAATATGGTCTACTACTAGTCTATACTATTATAATTATTTTTCAATAACATAACACTGGATAAAATATTTCTAAAAAAATTATTTTGAATTTCAACTGAATTCATCAATGGATTTTTCCAATTATAATTCATTTTTTTAAAAAGCTCAATTTAGTTCTTTTAATGGTGTGCGTTTTATTCAGTCCATAAATTTGCTCAACTTTTACTGGACCAATTTTAATNTTCAGTCCATAAATTTGATCAACTTTTACTGGACCAATTTTAATGAATCATACGTCAAAATATTTCGATTTATATCTAATTGCACTTATAATCACCAAATATTGAAAAAATTACTTGTTTTTTGAAATTTAGACAAATATCTTAAAATAATGCAACTATACAAATCGGCAGTTTTAAAAAATCATCTGCAATTTAAAATTACTATAACTTTTGTTTAAAAACGCTAATCGTAATGAAATTTAAATAAAAAATCCTAGATGAAATATTATTTTATGGGATATGCTTTTATAGTAACCCAATAAAAATCATAAGTACAAGAGGAGTTTAAAAAAGACCACTCACGCATGTTAATTTTTTTTTACCCAATTTTGATATGTTCCGGAAATACTGCGTTCTTAAACTTACATCAAATTGAACATTTTAAATATATAACGACATAAAAATAATTCCGGACGACTGTTCCACTATGAGAAATTGGATGTCAAATATTTTTAATAGAAATATTTCATTTAAAGTATGTATTTTTAAAATTAAATATCACCACAAATAATAGGAGCGATTTCAATAAAAATTTTAGTTATCCTTTCTAACTCTTTGTAATTAAATAGATGCTACAATTGAAATTATCAGAACTTTATTCCGTATAATTATATCCTATAGTATTTTCAACATACTGTTATTCAAAATATTCCATGCCTAGTTTCCTCTATGATTTTGTCCGCCGACGTGTTGTTGAATTGTATTTTAACCTATAGTTTTTTATATGTTAATACTCGTTGTTAAATAATTAGTAATAATATCACAAATTAAAGGTGATGGAAAAATCAAATTGCAGATTTGAAATTAGCGCAAAATATTGATCAAGGAGAGTATATTTGTGATTCTGATGGACATTCTATGTAGGCCAGTGTATTCATTCATAATCAACAAAAAATTATTTTTTGAAAAGTGTTGCATCAAACCCTTAAATTATTATATGCGTTGCCATAAAAGTGACGAAATAAATAACTACTTTATAACTTCTCCTTAAAAATTACAACATTAAATTGTTTAATATCAACATCATACTAAATTTAATAACTATAATAAGAATTTTTTCATATATTATACTTATAAACTAAAGAACAACTAATGAGGATATAATAAATGTAATAGGAATTGAAGTTTATTTTGAAATAATCCATCAATTTCCTAAGCTAGATAAATATGCATAATATAATTTTAAAGTATAAATTGAATACCTTTATAAGGTACAAGGAATTAATAAAACAATTTATGATTGAAAAATTGAAAAAAACATGTACCTAATAAAAACCAAAATAAAATGCTCATCGATATTTTAATTTTGTAAGTAATTGAGTCGAGTAATGATAAACGGATCACTCTGTATAACAGTTAAAAATAAAAATATCCATGTTCTTCCGAAAGATAATTATATAATTTAAATATTATGTCAAATGTATTGAAAAAATTTCAGATAAAATAGCATACTATAAATTAATTTTTAAATAAGTTAACATATCTGAAATCATAGGATTTTCATATTGGTATATTGATATATTGGATATATATTGATATCATTATCATTATTAAATTATATCATTTTATCTAAAATATCACATGACTTTTTGAGGGTAAAATTTTACTCGTTAAATTTATCATAAAACTTTTATAAAATTTCCAATAAAATTGATAATTAACATACAAATGACAAAATTTGACTTGACGACCTTTTCACAAAAACCGTTCATATGTTTGAATCAAATGAAAGAAGATACTAATCGATTTTTATTTTAAAAATTAAAGTAAACTCTCCCGTATTAAAATATAAAAAAATTCTAATTTGAAACATAATGTTGAAAAAAACAACTTACTCTAACAATGTGATGTTTAAACGATAAATCTAAAGGAATTTTCATCACGTGGCACCAGTAAGTAGTTTCTTCGGCAGGCACGTTAACATTGTTGGCCAAAATATCAATTTTAGAAACCTTATTAGGTAATTTTACTGGAGGTCTCTCAGGTTTTAACAGCTGTACTCTTTGCATACCTTTCTTTTTAGCTTGCGATACTAATAGACCATTTACAGCAAACAATGGGCCTCCACCTATCATCCAAACTATGTGAGTTGTTCCACCCTTTTACAAAATAAAAATTGGTTAAAAAATGTTCTGAAATTGCATTAAACTTAACTTTTTGAATAAAATATGAAGTTACTTCAATTAAATAGTCATTTTGGTCATCACAAGTATCAAACTTTCTTGAAAATGTTAAAGCTATTAAGCCATCGTGAAATCGAGTTATGTCAAAATTGGTGCAATCTTGCTGCTCGTCTATGAATAATCTTCCCACATCATCAGCCCAAGCATCCTATAAGATATAAACGTACGATTGTTTTTTATTTTAATTGTTTTTAATTACTTATTTTAAAGGTAATCTAAAAATTAAACAAATTTAATAGCAGAATTTGCAAAAAAAAAATGTTATTTAATACTTTTAAACTCTATTACTCCACTTAACGGTAAAAGTTCTCAAGTGTCATTTAGGTCAAATAATTTCCTCGCTATATTTTTTTGATAATTTTACTTTTTAAGATTTAAGTGAGTACTATATTAATTTTCATAAATTTACATTGGACGTTAAAATAGTTGTTATTTTTTGCTTAATCGACACACATTTAACTTATATTAAATTAAAAATCAGATATTTCAATACTTTGTGAACATTTCCGGGGAGGTTTAAGTTAAAATGGTAAAATTAAAAGTGAAAGAGGCGAAATAAATTAACTGTAAATATAACAAGTTCACGACATTTGTTCTTACCACCATACTAGTGTGGCCTTTCCAGTCGACCCACATAATACAAAAGTCTGCTTCAGTGTAATTTCCACGATTTGAAAATCCCAGAGCCCACCAATCAAACGGACTGGATACATTTAAATGGGCTTCGAACATAACCGATTGGTCAGACGGGTCTAGTGTCCAATAGAGTGTCATGCCTCCAGATTCATCCAGAGGAACAGTGTATACTCGATTACTGGCCAGTGCAATGATACAACACCAACCACTTCCAAGCAACCATAGGACTGCTTGCACTAACTTTAGCATGGCAAAATTACACTGTCCAATGCAAACTGTAAAGTATGTTGTTTGACGATCAACGCTAACAATGTTCAAGCGACTGAAAAACGGACTGTCGTGTGCCGTTTAAGTCAAGAGTTGGTTGTTCGTTTGGCGTCTCGTTGACGACGCATAGACACTCGATCGCATCAAGTGACGTCATGGCTGAACAAAACGCTTTACTTGTCTGTTCAAAGTGCTTCGAAATTTTAGACTAGTCATTATTACAAACAATTCTATAAGATCAAAAAGTTTTTCTTTTAAGAAATACTCTCTTTTGTTATTTGATCCGATAAAATGATAGTAAGTTATTTTAATCAATCAATGTTGATTAAGCAAATCAATTTTTTTCTATGTGATAATATTTCATTAAAAAATTTATTCTAAAATAAAGAAATAAAAATAATAATGGAAGATTTGCAAAATTTAGAACCTTTTATGTTCAGTAGTCGTTCATTAGTGAAATATAAAACAATTTATTTTTAAATATTACAATTCAATAAGCGTTATAATATTTTCTAATCAAAAGAAGAATTTTATTTTAAATGGTTTTTCTTTATAAGTAAAATATATATTTTACTCTATTAAAACTTTTGCTTTCTACATTAGATGTAAAAACATACTCACACTTCGTAATCTAGTTAAAAGACATAATTTTATATAATAATTTAATTACATTTAATAGGTATGTTACAACTCTCTAAAATATAATGGTGACCAAGTGTACTACGAAAGTAGAGTATGATAAAATTACGATTGAAATCGATGCGTTATGAATCGTTGAAATTATTAAGCGCACGGAAACATTGGAATTTTCGTGGGAATTTCATTAGTTTTTAATCTTTCATAAGGCGCCAGGAAAGGAATTTGATACGCACATTCCTGTTGAAAGTTTCTCGCCGCAGTCATTGAGAAACTAAAACGACAGTCTTGTTGAATAATAAAATGGTATTTTTCAACATAACTATGGAATTATTTAATTGAGCATTAAAGGCAACTTTCATAATTTATCGTTCAATGACAATATCTCAGTTAAAAATGTTAATTTAGTTGCTTTTTAATTGACAATCATATCTACCAAGTAAGTAAACATCTATCAAAAGAGAAAAAGTTATTAAAGTAATACATTTGAATTGTGTAATAAAAGCAAGCAAGTATACGTTCAAATGAATATTCAATGAAAACACAACAGCTCTACGTAAGTTAATTTACAGGAATAAAATTTAGCTTTGCATATTAACTGGAAAACAATAAAGCTTTTGGTTTGTGTAAAATTATTTAAGGGATTATGACTACCACAGGCAGTGTTTTAATGTCACTATTTACATAATAACATAATGAAAAGCATGACGTGGTAATACCCCATGTGAGTAATTTTATCGGATATTGTTTTATGTTATTAAAATAAATTGATAATCTAGTGATACGACGGAATGATTATGAAATGTGTTCAGTACATTTAAAATATAACTTTATAGGTCAAATTAATTTTTAAATATTTATACATGTTATGTTACCGATTATTTATGGACATAAATAAAAAAAATTCCTACTTTAAACATCAACTTTATTCATTTTTTTATGGTCAACTAAAAGTAAATATTTAATAATATCATTGCTAATTATATATTGTCATTTGTGTTGGAATAGAACGTGAAAACAATTCTTAAAGAAAATTAACTCAATAAAAAGAATTTCTAAGTAGCAGAATTATTACTTTTTAATTAATCTACAAAGTAAATTTGAATAAAAAATGGTATATTTAATTAGTATATAATATATTTACAATTAATCATTTTGATTAGTAAAATTGTCGTAATTAATTATTATAACAATAATAGTGTTGCTTGTTAAATTTTTCATGCCCATCATCAACTCCTTAGCCTCCAACTATTTGGGGTCGACTCTTCCTTAATTTACAGAATTTTTTATATTAGCTGTCACCTTATGCAACTTCGTTATGGCTAAGGGGACCACTAAGGAAACAAAGTGTGTGTCTCTGTTAAAGTTACCGTAAGATGACCCATCCGGGGGAACTAANTTTTTTATATTACCTTATGCAACTTCGTTATAGCTAAGGGGACCACTAAGGAAACAAAGTGTGTGTCTCTGTTAAAGTTACCGTAAGATGACTCATCCGAACTAACAGCAAACAAAATCAGTTGAGCATCAGTGCTAAAACAAGAACTGCGACCGCTGTTAAATTTTAATCATTGTTGAAAATATTAAGTGTATTACAGTTTATGTAAACTCATAACCTTTACTAATATTTTGTGGTAGTTTAATTCACTTTAATAATTATTTTTTAAAAGAGTAAACATTTTTATCATTTTTCATTTATATAACACATTATATGCATAATATGTTAATAAAGTATAT